ATAAAAATTCGTTACCCATCGTAACTAATTTCAAAAAATAATTTGTTGTTATTACGGTTACTTAAGAAGTAAAAGTTCGTTACCCTTTTTGTATTACTAAAGTAAGACATCTTAAAATTGTATTATTTAATAATCAAGATTAAATGTAAGAATTCTAGTATTAATACTTAAAACTCTATGTTAATCTCTATATAGCAAACTGTTTTATATTAAACTTATTTTGATGTGTTTATATATATATATAATATAAATCTTGTATAATTTTTAAAAAAGTAACTATTATTATAAAAAAAAATAACAATAATGGTAACGACATTACACACAATGTTACTTGAGTTATATTTCTCAATCCTGATAGTTACAATGTATATATTATTGTATTATATTGACAAAATAATAAAATCATATTTCGCTACTACAAATATATTTTTATCGCAAAAATTTGAATTTTTCCATCAAGGACATGCATTGTTGAATATAATACAGGAAATTGAAAATTTATGATATAAACCATTTTCTCGTGCATATTAGCTTTTTCAAGCAGGATTCAAGAAAGAAATTGAAGAGTTATTTCTGGTTGCAATATTTGTCATCGTTCACTTTATTTACATGTTCATGACCAATCTTATGGCGCAGATGGTAACAAACTGCAGAGCAGATGGTAACAAAATGTATGCCATTCTAAATACTTTTTATTCTAAATACTAATTATTTCTCAATAATTTTTTTTTATAGATTTATGCAACAATTTTGTATTATCGAATATAATTTTTGTAGTAACAAGGAATACATACGTGGAATTTTAGAATAATTATATATGATTTTATTGCATACTTATCAAAAATCAAACTTACAGTTATTGATTTTATTTATATCGAATAAAATATTTCTATTTTGAATATGACACATTAAACATGTGTTTAGAAAATAAAATCATCTAAATCTTATTATCTAGATGCGAATTGCCTTGGTATTCCGTCCCTATTCCACAAAAACTACTACAATTTATGATGCAAAGAAGCGTAAAAAATTCTAAATTTATAATGTGTAGTGTATTCTCTGGATCACTTGAATCTTTTGCTTCGATAAGTGTTATATCAAAAGCAAATAATGAAATAATAACAGACTTCAAATAACATATTCAATTAATTTTAAACTACATCTCTCCACTTTAAATTGATACAAATTTTATTTTTAAAAGAAATAGAAAAAATATATATAATTAATAGTTTATTTAGAACCAAATGTAAATTAAATTAAATTTGCCAATAGAAAATTAACGCCGCAAATAATATATTATACACTTTTCAATGCTGAATATTTGCTTACTATTAAAACTAGACGCATAAATTAATGTGTCTATAGCATTGAAAAAATCAATATAATAAATTTATAAATAGGATTAATTTTAATTAATATATATAATTTATATTTTAGCTCGTGAACTGGTCTTTATCTTATTTTACAATTTTTTTGTCAATACATTAATGTTGTTATAGGTGATATGCGCAAACGAATATTTCCTTCAAAATCACTATACTGGTTGATTATCAAAATACAATATCACATGAAACGAAAAATTATAATTCACGTACAGATATGATCGAGTCAATGACTTAAGTTCATTGTAGTATGATTACATTAAATATATTGCTTGTCAAAACGCATAAATATCATTTTAATTCGTAAAACTCTACACACTATTTCTTTTACGTTTTTTACGTAGATGTGATATATAAATTTACGATTTATTCAGATTGAAAACAATTGTGAAATTTGATTCATTTATGTACACGCATATATGCATATGTAAGAAAATGCCGAAAAAACATACACCAAAAATATAAGATACTGAAATAAAATATACACGAAATGAATTTGTACTTTTACCGGTTTTACATTCACAATAAATATACCAGCGTTTACATTCTTTTTTCATTTTATCCGCAGGGGAATGCAGTTTTCATGTTGTTATTTATTCATCAACTAACATCATTAAAAGTGTAGTATGAAAAATGTGAAAAACAGATTTCGGATGTTTTTGAATAAAAAAAAACAAAAGGGAAGGAAATTATTTTAAGATTATATTGCTTTTCAGAGCATTAGACACAAAGAAAAATAACGAAATATATTGATTATTTTTATTAAAATAATATTAATGCCTGGCTGGGCAAATATTATTGCATTAATGATATCCTGGCATTTTCTTATCAGAGTTATATAATATATTAAAATTAATGTTCTATATGAAATGAAAATAAATACATTTAAAATTATCTTAAATACAGTTTTAAAATGTCACAAACCATAGAGCCATATTCACATCTTTTAATATATTACTTAAAATGGTCTTGAGATAAGAATCGACTATGAATACCGGTCTTAATTTAGTATGTCTATATATTAGTTGTATATACCATTAAAGAAAGTACCACGACGTTTCACGTCTCGAATAGGACTGATAAGACATTGAAAATACGCGAAAACGGTATTGTAATTGCGCTTGTGTCGATCGAATATAAGAAGCAACGGTAATAGAAAGAAAATAATTGGTTATACATACTTTGTAAATAGTAACATATTAGGTTTCCCATACCTGTAACTGCTTTAGTTAGATGTATAAGATAAAACTATAATTTGAGCCAGTTATTCAACACAATTTCGTAATTTTTCGATATTATAGAATTTTGTAATTTTGACATTAATGCAATATTTGCATAATATTTGCAAACAGAAAAACGTAGAAAATATAAAATTATAATAGAATATGTTAACCAGGTAGAGAAAAGATGTTTCTAAAAAAAATTTTAGCACAGATGTATTGTGGCATTTGTACTGAAATGACTTGTACGGCAGACAGTTATTACATTATTAATCGGAACCTGTTGCTATGTATCGGCTTGTGGCCATATCAAAGATTTGGTTTCAGATGTATTTTAATAACATTGATGATCATAATACTTACGTCTAGCATAGTATTTCAGGTATGATAATCTTTTCAAATCTTATGTCTTTTATTATTTTCATCAATTTTTACATCAAATAACTATTGTTATTTGATGTAAAAATTAACAAAATGAGAAATCAAGCAAAAATTGAGTGCGTAATGAATTTTAATTAATAAATAGTATTAATTTAAATAAATTCTCTGTAAGAAAATTCTAATTGCATAAAATTCTGATGAATTCGATGATGCTTCCCAGGTAGCAAGCTACGTCATTTTGACGTTGTTTTGACGTCAAATGACGTCTTTTTGACGTCAGCTTGCTACCAGGGTTAGAATGGCCATATTTGTATGTATTAAACAATTTCTTTAAAGTCACTACAAAGTTATTCTAACCAAAAAGTCATTAATATAACGAAATTAATTAACCAAATTTATTAAAAGTTAAATATCTGGAAAAAAGTAATGCTTTCAGTTTGCAACCCTCTTCACGAAAGAATACAACAAGGAGCTTCTTTTGAAAATCCTTGCATATAGTGTCCCATGGCTGAGTTATGTATTGAGATATAATATTCATTGGTTAAATATGAAAAAGGTAAATGTATTTAATATTAAGACATTTTTTTAAATATTTTAAAGATATTTTTTTGAAAAAACGATGAATAATTATTATCTTACGAGCGTAGATGCGAGACCTCATAGAACGAATACGTTTGGACTGGAATGAATTAAACGATGCGCATGAACTTGAAATAATAAAAAAGTATTCAGCTATCGGAAGACTTATCACATTATTTACGATATGTAAGCAACATCTCAAATAATTTTTCAACCTACTTTCAGTTTCAGTAATAATTTAGAATTAGTTTTATTGTTACAGTGTTCGTCTATTTGGCTATTTTTAGCTTCATTTTAATACAGCTTCTATTAAATTTTGTTCTGGACATCACGATAGCTACAAACGAATCTCGTATACGGCATCTTGCAGCCGAGGTCGAGATTTTTATAGATCAACAAAAGTATTTTACTCCGCTTTTGTTATATTTGTTTCTTACCGTTCTGTGTGGCATAACCACAGTAATAGCCATGGAAACACTTTGTATGTCATATACACAACACGCATGTGGATTATTCGAAATAGCGAAGTAAATATAGCGTTTTAATCCATTAAATAGGGAATTCCTACACATTTTTTTTCTATTTCAAATTCTTGTAATTCGGGTTTTAATTAAAATTTTTAAGTCGTAATTGATATTATAGAATATATAAGAAAGTTGCTCTTTCCAGAAATCTAATTGACGATGAGATCGAATGTCTGGAAAAAAGATACAAAGGGTTGAAAGTAGAGTAAAATAACGCTCTTTGTTTACTGACAAGTATTTAACTAATTAATGATTTCGTTTAATGAAATATATCGATATAATTATTATTTAATGTTGATGTATAATAATTATTTCGATGTATTCTACTAAAAAATAAAATTATTGGTTGATTACTTGTCAGTAAGTGGGCAGAGCTCACTTATTCTTTTTATCTTCATTTTCCTAGCTTCTGTCTTTATTTTTAGAACCCAACTCCATTTTTCAGAACCCAAGACACGAATAGTTATGATAGAAAAACACATAGATTACCTGGTACCTACTTAAGAGCTAAGAAGTGAATCAATTTATTTTGATAATTTTTACAAATTTTACTACTTTTCAGTTGTCGTATAAAACAAGCTTTGCACAAAGGTATGGCACGAGACGTAATATCTGTTACTGAAAAAAATTCAATAATATGCCAAGAAATAATCAGTGCAGTCGATATACACAGGAAAGCAATCGAGTCTGTAATTCTCATTAATTTAATCAAAGACGATTTCTTTTATTTTATAATGTAATTTTTCTTTAAATTATTCACTCTTCAATAAACTTGCATTAATATATTATTAATATACAATTCGAATTTTCAAGCACAAAGAATCTGATAAATCGTATGTACGCGTAATTATTGACAATAGTTATTTATATTTTATATTTATCCTGCGCATTATCCTTATTCAAGGTTTATCGAAATGACGAAAGTAAATTTTGAGTGGATGTATTTCATTGCGATACCATTCGCCGTACTAACGCTAAGCATTAATCTGTATCGCGTGAGTTACTTTTGATATATTCTTATCAATAATACCGAGTAACTAACAAATCTTAGTTAGGTATTGTAAACACGATACACTTGCGTGTACTATCGTATGCGTAGGTGCAAGCTCTGCACTTCTCACAAAGTAAAACTGATTGTTTATGTGATCATAGCTTTCTCGGCTAATAACGACCGAAGCATATGGGGATCTAATAACAACTCTTCTATTTGTTCTTGGCCATTTTTGGTATTTGTTCTTCTGCAACTATGTCGGACAAGAGGTGATCGATCATAGCAGCGATATTTTTTATAAAACGTGAGATTATTTAGATATATACCGTAATACATTAAAGAACAGTTTTTATTTTAAATTTGTTTCAATCTTAAAACTTTTACGACCTTCTAATAATATATTACGTAGATACAACATACAATGGTACATGGCGCCATTGAAAGTGCAATATTTATTATTGTTTGTAATGCGAAGAAGCATGAGATGTTGCACACTCATGATTGGCGGCTTGTTCATTCCATCGTTAGAAGGATTCGCCACGGTAAAGTCTTGATACTATAAATAATAATTTGTCGAATATTTTTGCTTTAGATAATCAAGAATACAATTTCCACGTTTTAGCTTATAAGCATGTCACTTTCGTATTTTATGGTAATTTATTCCATTCAGTGAGCGTGCTCATAAAATAAAATTTATCATTAGTCGAACACATAGTTTATCATAATCCAGTAATTCTGGTATGCTTGTTGCAAATGCTAATGTAATAAATTAATAATACACGAAAACAATTTTTTAAATTATATCTATTATCGTTTATTATACATATGAATAAAAATAAAATTTTACGGAATTTATCAATATATATTTTATGGAATCATGCATAATGCAAATATAAAAAAAAAATGAATGCAACATTATAGTAACAGGATACGCAATATTAACAATCGAACTACATTTTTAAAATAAGAAAAAAATTATTTCATTATATCATACATTTTTTTATCAGATTTGTAAAATTAATTTAGCTTAAGAAAAAAATAATTTATTACCATATAATAATATTATTGTCATCATTTAAAATATCTATTTAGAAAGTGTATTTATGCTTCCATAATTTAACATTAATAAATTAATTTAACAAAAAGACTATACTTACTATATATATAGACGCACATTTTTCACGATATAGTGAGTTTTAAGTGTAATTATTACAGTGCAAATAATACATTGATATTATACAATAGTTATAACAGCTTACTAATTTAGGATTTTGATGTAATCCAAAATAAGTCCTCACAGCACTTATAACGTCGAGGGGATAACCACTAGCTGAAATATTGTCCCACTGATTACATGATTTTATTTTATTTCATATGATTTCGTCTGATTACAAATAATTTTTTTTACTACATATGAATTTAGTAAAATATACAGTTTTATTTAATATTATACAATTTCTCTTGGTTGCATATGTAATTATCGGATTATACAGAGATTTCATATGAATTTTATAATGATTTCGAGAACTCTGTCCCACGATTACATTAAGTGGTTATTCCCTCGTATAATGTAATCTTCATAATGCTGGTCAAGCATGGTACACAGATCGTAGTTTCCAATAATTATTGCATTATGATTTTTCTTGTTAATTTCGAATGATATCAGCACATATTATTTCAATACACAAAGAAAGTACTGCAATGCTCCGCGTCTTGAATTGAAATGAAGGGACGTCTGAAACGTATGAAAGCGACATTACAACTGCGCTTGCGCCGATCGAACGTATGAAAGGAATATCAAATATACATATACACAGAGAAAAACATAATTGGCCCATACAAATAATAACGTTTACTCGAACATTATGAACAGACACTAGCCAAATATGCTTCGAAACTATAATTTGCATGATTATAGTACCCGATAGTAACCGATAGATATTCTATCGTAATTTTTCGCACAAGTTTAATACTTTATTTAAATATGTACAAATAGCGAATTATAAATTATGATCAAGCGTATGCCGAACTTACGAGATAACTCGTGGAAAGAAATTCGGCATAAACGCGTTATGACGTTTGTACTGAGATGGCAAGATTGCCCAGTGAACAGTTATTATACGATTAATCGAATTTTGTTACTATGTATCGGCTTATGGCCATATCAAAAGTCTATTTTGAAACATATTGCAATAGCATTTATAACGATAATGTTTGTATCGTCTATAATATTTCAGGTATGATTATAACTTTTTTATATCTCTTATTAATTTTCTTTATACAAACTATAGAAATCAAAGCCTTAAACGGTCTAGCTGGATCTTAATGCTTGTATGATTCTTATGTGAATTTATATACATATTATTACTACGTATGTAGTCCCCAGAAACGCGCGCCGAAATGATTTTTCGGTCTTGAAACGCTAACTCTATTAAACTACCGCAGTAATATCACGAGTTAAATTGACTGGCAATTTAACAATTTTTGATGCTTATTCGCATCTTCGAAACGATCTTAATAATGATGAATAACATATTAAAATCTGTAAATAATTAATTCTTATTGCGAAAAATATTACTTCGGCCGGGAGTTATGACATATACGGTCCTATAATATATTATATTATTTATTTACGTCGCCTAAAGAGACATTGTTCCTTCATATGTCAATTATTGCGAAGAATATTAGGGTAAACTAGGGTATTATGGCCATACGGAAAAGATGGCCATAGGCCATAATTTCTCCAACAATTGATAAATAATGCATTTTTATAGTCATTCTTAAAGATCAATATTTACAGTAGTTCATATGAGTACACTGTTCAAAATAACAATATTATAAATATTATCTAATATTTTTTCTTGCACGTGTCTGCTAAAAACTGTTATGTCTAATAAATTACAGTTAAGCTGCCATAATCAACATTACATACACAATAAAGGTACGTAAATTG